GCCCTCAGGCCTCCCTGGCTTGGGCGTCCCTGCGGGCAGCCTGAGAACTGCCAGTCAGTGCTGTCCTGGGCTAGCAGAGCTGGGGTCACAGGAAGGGGACATTCCAGCGCTGGCGTTTCAGTGTTTCATGTGCTACATGCAAACAGGAATACAAAGTTAATATGAGAATATTAAAGAATAGTACACATTGCATTTCAAGTTAAACTATTAAAATGGATATATAATACCAATTAACATAGAAAAATAATACCCAAGAGGGGCGGCTTGTGGCTGTGGAAGGTATGGGGGTTCAGGGTTTACATTTTCAGCCTCTCACTTTCCCTTTTGAGTTCTATCAGCTGTATACTCATGATGTAGGGTGAGGTTATCTCAGAGTAGCAATTAATGGCTGTTAGGAAAAAATATTCTTAAGGACTACAGAAAACATTTTTTAAAGAAGCTAGAGACTGGATCCAGTTCAAGACGGTGGGAGGCCATAAACATGCTTACCTCCTCCTCTTCCCAAATTGCTAGAAGAGCCATCTAGAGACCAGAAATGTGACTTTCTGAAGACAGAAAGCAGCTGGAAGGGCAGACACTGCTCAGGCAGGTGCAGGCAGGTGTCCAGAGCAGGACAGGCAGGCGGCAGTGCTCAGGGCACTGAGGCAGCTCCCCAAGTGCTAGTATCACCCATATCACCTCCTGGAGGCACTCCCAGAGTTTCGAATTCAGGGGTCTGAGTGAGGCCCCAGAATCTCCATTTCCAACAAGCCAGGCCCGGCTGAGCCTCCCACTCCTCCCCGCCACAGCACAGAGGCCTCAGCTGTGCCCAGCAGGGAAATCAGCCGGGCTGGGTGAGGGCAGGGCTCCCAGTGTGAGCACTGGCACCCTGGCTCAAGTACGTCTTGTATGCACTTTTTGGGAGGCGGGCGGGGGTGGCCTGAGCTGAGCTGGCCCAAGGTCCTGAGGTCCTTCACAAAAACCCAAAGTCCTTCATAAAAGCAAGCAAAAGCATTCATTTTCGTAGAACTGAATTGTCCCATCTCTCCCTGGCTCTTCCTCACAATTCTTTCTTTGCCTGTATTATTAGAACTTACTTAACTGGGTTAAACAAACTGCAAAACAATGACGGTTCGTTCTCTAATTCCTTAAAATTATCTATAGAGGTGCAGGAAAAGGAACTTCCTGTTTGTTAGGAAAAGGAACTTCCTGTTTGTTTCACAATCAGGCACACTGAATTTCTTTGAGAAAGTGTCAGGTAAATGGAAGGAAGCAAGAGACAAAAATCACAAGTTGATAGATCTGTCTGCCTTTCACAACTCTTTCCCCTACATTTCTAGACATCCCTCATGGAAACCTTGTTGCATCACATTTATGAGCTCTAACTACACTACAGATTCTTTGTAATATGTACAAATTCTTTGTAATATTATGAATTCTTATATTCTATACAAGACAATGTGTCAAGGATGCTATTTGAAAACACCTGTGTTTGACGTGGGCAGGATGATATAATTCACTACCTTCTATGCCTGCTGGTTCATCAGGTGTGTTGTGACAGAACCTGCTGTCACCACCAATTGCCAATTACCCACCTGGCCACTTTTTTTTTTTTAGGTCAAAGCACTTTGCTTTAGGATGACTAAAAAAATCACCAGAAAAAAATCTGACCGAACAGGCAAAGTATTTGTTTTGTTTTTTTTGAAATATACTCTCAACAATTTTATGTTATCCTTTCCACACATTTTTCCCATTTACTTCTGGAGATAACAGACCTAGGCAGTAAACTATTACCCCAAATAGGAATGAAAATCCGTTTCCCTGCTAGAAAGGCTCCAGCTGGTAAACTCCTGAAGCTAAGGTGCCTTTTCCATCCTGCATGGTTTGCTCACGGGCGAGACCACAGAGCCCTCTAGTGGCCACGGTGCAATTCCCTCCAGTCCCAAGTACAAATTTGTTTCATGTTCTTCTAAAATTAAATTTACTGAGTTACAGTGCCACATCCTATCTTAAAAAGCAAATTAAACAATGTAACTAACAAAGTACTCTCTCTGTGGAAAATTACAACCTTAAGTGTGTACTCAGCCTATCACATATAGGCTGATTTTGTGCTTGGAAAGAAAAGACAGGAACACCCTAGGAATGTGCATGCGCGCCAAGGGTCAGATGTACTCAGGAGTACTCTGCCCACCCTCTGTTCATCTTCCTCACCCCTTCACTGCACCTGACCGGCAGCTCCCGTGCTTCCTGCACCATCGTCATGCGAGGACAACTAGAAAGATTGCTGTTGTTTGCTGCGGCCAGCCTGGTTCTTTCTGGGTCCCTCCTGCTTAGCTCTGCACTTACCCAGCTGGAGCCACCCAGCACCTGTGTGGTCACAGGGACAAGGACTCTAGCCCAAAGCCCCATCCAACTCTAAGTTCCAGTGTTAATTTACTTTTGTATTCACACAATTTTTTTTGTCAAGTGAGAAAACCTTACAGCAATGTTCTGCTTGGATATCAGAAATCACTAATATCTTAAACCTGGTTCACTCTCTGAGGGTGACACAGGACCATGGGCAACTTCAGGCCTATTTGTTATCAGACCACAACACAGAGTGGAAGCTGAAAAGTAAACAAGGCACCATGGTGGTCAGATCCATGGCAACCAGGAGATAGCACTGGTGCTAATTAATACACAGCAGAAAACGTCAGTTCTGCAATAATCGAAAACACGTAGAACTGCTGAGGTTACGTTTGATCCACCTGACAAATCCACTTAACTAGGCACCATTTCACAAACTGTGTCAGCAACCCACACGCTGCTCTGCTCTTCCTTACTTCCCACCGTCTCTGCAGCCGCTCCAAGCCTGTCACTATGTGGAAAACGCTCACCAAGGTCACTGCCACCCACGCTCACTTCACCAGCTGCACAGGGAGCCACATGCCTGGCCAAGAAACAACTGCCAGGGTCACTCCCACACACCCCCTGCACTGCCTTTTGTCTCCTCCACTCTCCCACACCACCTTAAAGTGCAGCAGGAACTGGCGGAAGTGATTGTTCTCTGGAGGCAAACACAAGTACACACACACAGCTCTGAATCGCCTTCATGTGCTATCAACTTCCGTAGCTTTTCCGTGATCCCTTCTACAGAATTTTGCCCATAAAGTCTCCCTGCCACCTCCACTTGGATGTCTCATGGTTCCCATGTCCCAAATGAAAAGCTTGCAATTGGTGATTCCTACCACCAAACCTGCACACCTGTCCCCAACCCCAGGAGCCCAACTCAGTAACCTGGGCATCTCGATTCTTCCCTGTCCCTGACCCCCAACTTCACGAACACAGCATTGATACTACCGCTGAGACAGATTTTTAAATCTATCTACACTTTACCCATTACCAAGCCCCACGCCCACCGGCTGTGGTCCTCCTGACAGGCCTGGCCTCTCCGCTGCACCTCTCACCCTTTTCGCATCCCTTTGCCTCTGAACAGTCCTGGTTACTGTAATCTCATGACACCTCTACTGCAAACCTACGTGATTTCTTCACTGCAGTTATTTCAACTTAAGATTGTTGCATTTATTGAGTGATTACTTGTTTAGGATTTTCCTCTACCCATACATCACAGCTCTTTGAGAATTTGGCTCCTAAATGCCTTGCTGTTCAGCTCTTCCCAGCAAGGCGCCAAGAGAGAGTATGCTCGATATACATTGGTAGAAAGAATGACTATACCAACAAAAAGCTTCCAAAAGGGCAGAGTTATTTATACATTTCAATTATGTTTGTTATAGGTGTTATAGTTACTTAAGAAAACACAAGGGGTAATAGCTGTCAAATTGTAATGGAACAAAAAGTCCAATCATGAGCACTTAATTATATGGTATCTGGTATCACTAAAGAGCATCCCAGTGAACACTCAAAACCAAATACTGGCAATGCAACATCTTTAAATATGTTTATGTCACCAGAAAGCGAGTGTCCTCAGGAATGGCCATTTACTCCTATCTTTGGTTAGAGTATGGTTCTTCATCTTTGGTAGAACAGAAGTGAGGCCCGTGTCACTCTTTACTAATCAGAACAATTAACATGCATGGCTTATTTTTATTTTTTATTATAAAAAACACATACAAGAGTTTTAAGAAATGATGAATATAAGACAAATCAGAACCACGGTGAGTTATTAAACCCATGTTCTATATACAAATACTAAAATTCCGAAAGTGGAATATCATCAAATGTGAGACACATCATAGCACGGTCCATATGTACACAGCACACAGAGCTCTGCCTGCGGTCGCCTCTGAATCGCTCATATACATGTCATTGATACACAAACCTGCAAGGGAACTTCTACTCTTCAGTTCTCCTCTTCCTGATACATAGTTAAATATTTTTAAGGAACTTTAGAGATATAAAGAAAATGCTTTAAAGTGAGTTTCTGCTAAGGGCTCTCCATGTTTTACTCTGATCAATTATGTATTACATCTTGAGAAAAACTTTTGTAGCCCATTTCCAGCTAAGAAGTGGAAAACTCTTTAGGTCTTTGTTTTGCCAATTTACTTTTTCCTAGTCACTCATTTGAGCACAAGTCCAAAAACAGCTCAGGAACCAAATCATGTTTTTATATTGGTAAGTTCATTATAAAATGCCACTCGATTTTAAAAAGCCACTAAAAGGACACTTTCTGCAGCAAAAAAAGGGCTAAATTCAAGTTTTTGTTGTTTGACCAAGACACAATAATACAATCCATATGTCACATGATCACAATAGCCTTAAGTGAAATGTATGTGATTTAGGGAAAAACAACTGTGCAACTGTTTGTTTCTCCTGTCTCCTTGCCAAACGATAAGGAGAGCCTCTTGTCAGTTTATCTATTTTGTGTCTTCTTTAAACCTTCCTTTGTTTCTGAAAGTTGATTAATCTACTTATATTCAAAATGTGTCAAGGCACTTCTCTAGCCACAGCGGCCTTCCTGCGTCAGCCGAGCCCCTCTGCACTCAGCGCGCTGACTTCTTCCAGGCAGCTGAGGATGGCAGATGGAACACTCTTGGATGCTTCCCTCCGCCAAGCTTCCAGGATCTTGGAAATTTCTGCTGGATTGCTGGGACTCAAGTCACAAAGAGCATATACGGCTGCTAACTGTATACCCCATGGAATATCTGAAAAGAAATTTTAAATCAGTTATAATCCAAGAAGATGTCCATTACTCAAAATTTTAATAATGTAATCTACTGAAATACTATCCAAATACAGAATCGTTTCTGCTTCTGCCAGCAATAAAAACTAAATATTAAATAACATTCACAATAAAAAAATTTAAGATGTACCTACAAATTTTAAAAAAAATCATCAAATACATGACTATTAAATATCCACTTGAAGTATTTATAATGGACATTGGAAATAAAAAACACAATGAAATGAGATGAAATAAAAACTATCTTTGTATCACAGTTTCACATACTAGATTACAACGTATGATTCTAGATTATGTTATAAATTACAGTATATTATTATAGCTTTCCTTTAGGATAAGTTTACTTAGTTAAATTAAAGCTTAATTTAGTTAAAATTTATTATTAACTATAATACAGGTTGAGTATCCCTACTCCAAAAAATCCCAAATCCCAAATACTCCAAAATTCAAAACTTTTTGAGCATCACTATGAGGCTCAAAGGAAATACTCATTGAAGCACTTTGAATTTTAGATTTTCAGATTACAGATATTCACAAATATTCCAAAATCCAAAAAAATCCAAAATCTGAAACACTTCCCATTTCAGATAAGGAATACTCAACCTGTATTTCAGTTTTCTCCAAATGGGTAAACTAGTACTATTTCAAACAAACAAACCCAACACAAAAGCCCACACATTCAAATGTTAATGCTGAAAATGCAGGCAGAACTGTAGCTTTTAAAATTACTTTTCTCCCTAATCTATACTCAGTGAGAGAAGCAATAGAGCATAGCACATAATGAGGCCACAACTCAAAAAAGTGTTTAACAGTAAAAGCACAAGAAATTAAGAAGACAATCTGAATAAACAGGAGCATGTGGCACTGTTTAAAGACCAGAGATCTGGAGTCAGACAGACAAGGGCCAACAGCTGGGCTGGCGCTGCCTAGCCTTACCTTCTGCAAATTACTCTGCTCCCTGGGCTTTAGTTTCCTCAGGTGTAAAATAAGGGAGACCCCTATTCACCTCAGAGGGCTGTCTTGGGGACCCTGCTTTGCTGTGGGGCAGTGCCAAGCCCAGTGTTTAACCTACAGCAGGCCCCTACATCGGCTTCTCCTCCTTCCTCATGCTCCCAGCTTCTACGTTATACCCGCCCCAGCAAGAGAACAAGTCTGTTTCTGTTGGCAAGACAACCCATTAGCCATTATTCTGGCTACTATCTTGGGTGTCATGCGGTATTTAAGATGTCACTTTGTACATTTCTGATAGGATGTTGCTTAATTACATTATTCCTTGATTACACAATATTCAAAACAGAAACTAGATTCATCACTTATAAAGGGTTACTTTGAGTTAAGGTTTTCTCACAACAGAATGAGACATAAAATTACATGCTATACAAAATGTAAATGTAACAGAAATCCTGCCATGAAGATTTGCTCGCAAAGTTTCCAGCCTTCCAAGTTCTCTCCAGACGCTAAGTACTCAGTGATACCTGGCACCTCACTGTGCATCCATCCCTGCTTACACGTGTGATCTCATCTGGCCGTCGGGACACAGCAGGCCTCCACCCAGCAGGCTTTGCAGAGAGCCCAGGTTAAATACATCACTTTTTGGGGATCACATGGCACAGTTTCTGAGACAGAATGTTAGCACCAGGGGGAGAAGAAAGTTCCCCTTTCCTTAGAGAAACACTGCCCAACATGGTGAACTACTGCCATTTAAATAAACAAACACACAAAATCCAGACACACATCCAAATACTAATGCTGAAAATGTTTTTGCAAATATGCCCTAGTCTATGAGGCAGCAAGAGAAGCACAGAGCACAGCGCATAGTAAAGATTCCAAAAAGGGTTTAATAAGGGAACACAAGTGATTCACAAGTAATTTTAACAAACAAGAGTTTTACCTTCATCCTGAGCATGCTGTATAAACATACCAATAACTGAACTAATATTTTTCACAGCAGATGGAAATCCTTCCTTCAAACCCAATTGGCCTAAACGACCTAGGGGAAACACAATAAAACAAAACGTAAACTGTCTTTGGTTAAACGTTGATTAACTTTTCATAATTTAAAGCACCATTGTCTTACAGGAGGTGATCAAAATACCCAATCTCTTCTTTTATTCACACGTATGTGATGATATACAGCGTGTTGCTTTCCCAGCTAGGTTACAATGTCATCAGTGGAATCCAGAAGGAACGTAGGGCTCCTGTGATACTGTGAAATGGCTAATAGGCTCATAGATCAAACAGAAGAAAACAGTGGTCCAATCAAAATATACATTTTTGGTTCTAACACTTTGGCAGCTGCTGTGATAATATAGTGCAGCAGTTCTCAAGTGTGGTCCGCAGACAACCTGGAGTCCTCAAAGTCAGAACTATTTCAGAACGATGCTGAGAAGTTATGTCGTGCCTTCTTCCCAGCGCCAAAGTGTGGGCTGATGGTGCAAAAGCAACGGCAGATCACACGACTGGACCCTGAACAGTGGCACCTCACTGGACGGCAGTCATTCTTCATCGCCAAGCGCCCACAGTCAAAAAGGCTGATTTCACTTAAGAATGTCCTTGATGAGGCAGTCACAACTGTTCTCACTAAATCTAGGCCCCCAAACACAGAACTCTGCAACATTCTGTAGACAGCCCAGGAAGTTCACATGCAGCTCTCCCCTGCACACCCAGCACACTGGTTGTGGTGAAGAAAAGCACTTGTGGAACTGTTGTGTTGTGAGTGAAACCGGGTGCTTTTCCCGTGGAACACGACTTTTGATTAAAAGAACTGACAAACTATGAGTATTTGGAATGAAGCAGACATTTTCTCAAAAATGAACAAAGTGAGCTTGTAACTTCAAGGAAATTTATCATTATGGTCAATGATAAAATTTGAGCCTTTAAGCAAATCAGAACTATGGAACAACGTCCACCAGCCACACTGAGTTTCATAGCTTTCCGATGCTTAAGACTTTTCTGTGATGAGATTGGTGATACTGTGTTTTGGGGGATATCGCTGACATTTGGAAGATCTGTGTGAATCAATTATTTTCCAAGTGAACAATGCAGGTTACAAAATCATATATTGGCAAAAGGATCCCTTCAACATGCAAGCTAGACCAACGGATTTTAGTATAACAGAGTATAAAAAGCTCACTGATAAGGTTTCAGATTTCACACTTTGAGAAACTACTACTTGTTGAGTTTTATTATAGTATCACAGAAGAATATCCATAATTATTTGAAAAGCCTATGAAAATATTCTTCCCTTTACCAACTACATATGTGTATGAGGCTGGATTTTTTCATACATTGAACCAAAACAACATATTGCAAGGCATTGAATGCAGAACAGATAATGAAAAACCAGCTGTCTTCTATCAAACCAGATAGTAAAGAGGCTTGCAACAAGGCAATGTCATTCTCATTATTTTTTGTTTGTTTTGGAAATAGTATTTTTCATTAAAAATGTCATTTATGTTAATGAGTTTATTACTATTAATTTTAAATGCATAACTAAATATTTTTAAAATTTCTTAGTTTTAATTTCTAATACAATAAATATTGATAAAACCTGGAGTAACAAAAGTTCTTCGAGAGTTCTTAATAACGATTAACAGTATATAGGGGTCCTGAGACCAAAAGGTCTGAGAACCAAAGAGATCACAGGGCAGCTAAATCCACTGAAGGCTAAGGCAAGCAGGGCAGCACTGGCGTCAGTCACCCACTCCCCTCGTGTTTGGAGCCTTCCTTTATTCCAGTGGTTCTCCTACAGATGTAAGCTCGCTCCCAGGTGGAATCCTGTTTCTTCCATCAAGACAAAACCTTCATCTTCTTTTATATAGGAGAAAGACCCTGGAACATATCTTAGATGCACTTTTATGATAACATATTGTATGCTCATTGTTCTGTGTTCATTGATGACTGAACTCTGACCTTTTTTCTCTTGCCCAAATTCCTTTCTAAGAGGCCTAGTGAGTCATGACTACAAACAATAAAAGCTCACTAAACAGGTGTTAGTAAGCCAATATAATGTGGTTTACTTTCCAACTTGATTACAGTATAGCAACACAGGACAGACAGAAGACCCCTTTATCTTACTCCAGCATTCCTTTCTACTGACTTCAGGTCTTTAGACAAACCTCAACGCTTTCAAACAATGGCCAACTAAAGAATATCTAAAACCCACCTATGACTTGTAAGCCCCCAGATTTAAGATGTCCTGCCTTTTCAGGTTGAACCAATTGTACACCTTCCATGTACTGATTTCTGGTTTTACCTGTAATTCCTGTCTCCATGAATGTGTAAAACCAAACTGTAACCTGGCCACTTCAGGTGAATTTTCATGTTTCCCTGGTCGAAGGTCACACACATTCAGCTCAGAATAAATCTCTTTAAATTATTTTAGAGAGTTTGGGTTTTTCTATTGACATCATATTCTCTCTCAATACTACATTCCATGGGTTTCTATTTGAACCCAGTACATGAGCCTCATTTCTATTTTAAATATGAAGAAACTGAGGCATACAGCATTTAAGTAACTTCTGTTACTTTGTATCACCTATAGGAACTAGCTTGGTGCTGGTTACATATACTCTATTTTGATATTTGGCAGATATACAGTAAATAATTACTGATCAAACAATATTAGGATTAGAAATTAGGAATATCTAGGATGACACTTTAAATACCTGAATAATTCCTAGGCAGCCCAGGAAACTGAAAAGTAATTTACTTCAGAGATCAGAAATTTTAGGTTACTGACCACTTTTAAATATCTCTTTGGGCTGAGCACAGTGGCTCATGCCTGTAATCCTACCACTTTAAGAGGCCAAAGTGGAAGGATTGCTTGAGTCCAGGAATTTGAGATCAGCCTGAGCAATGCAGCGCCCTGTCTCTTAAAAAAAAAAAAAAAAAAATACAAAAATTAGCAGGGCATGGTGGTATACCTATAGTCCCAGCTACGTGGGAGGTTGAAGCAGGAGGATCTGTTGAGCCCAGGAGTTTGAGGTTGCAGTAAGCTGTGATGTACTCTAGCCTGGGCATCAGAATGAGACCCTGTCTCAAAAATGTACATATATATGTATATATCTTTGCAATTAGATCAAACTGCTAACTATATGCCACTGGATCTGTCCTCTGAAACAATGTACCAAGGGCATTAGATGCATAACAAATAGCAGAGAAAGGGGCATGTGCCTAACACAGCTATGGGATCATTCAGCCACGGGATGTGCATTTATTCCCAGATAATATACGATCGTGTTACAATGGCTCCCTTTCTTTCAATTAAAAGCACATAATGAAATTGGGTTTTACAGCTATTTAAATTAATGGAGCTATCAGGAGTAAAATAAGAGGAAATTGTGAGTCTGGGGCAGATGACTTGGGGAAAAAGACTCAATATATGGTGACTTTGCAAAGATGACAAATTGGTTAAATGATGGGAAGAAAAGTCCCTACAGAAGGCATGTGAGGGAGCCCAGGACATTCAGCTAAATTAGAATACAAATAAGAAATGTGGAGCTACTTTCAAGGTCAAAGACAATGCACTCCACAGCACAGTCACCAAGCCAGAGGAGAGGAGAGCCTGCTAAGATGAGTCTACAGGGCAGAACTAAGACCAAGATAAAGATCCCAGAGCTTTCATTCAAGATTTTAGATGCAAATATGTTAAGGAAAGGGTAAGTTGAGGCAATTTCAAAAAAAAAAAAAAAGAGTTGAAAAACCTGGCAAAAGAATGGGTAGAAATCAATAAGTAATGGCTACTTCAGTCTGACCTGAAGAAACCTGACATGTGGGACAGTTTTCCTAGCTTCTAGGTTCCAGTTAATACCCAGTAGGCCACATTATTCAGGATTCAAGCAGAAACATGGCATTATACAGCTTTACACTCCACCGAATCCAGTGGTGGACAAATTTATCCTTGCTCTTCTACCTTCCCACTGAGTGGCCTCAGACAAGGGCTTAACCTTTCTTAGCCTCAATTCTGCCAAGAAATGAGGAGTGCAAAGATTAGATCCAGCTCTATCACTCCTCCATATTTCTATGCATCTAAAGCAATTCAAGCATTTCACAAAATGGTCTTTAATACATTAGTGTTAAGGTAGGTCAGAGTAAACCACATTTAATAATCATATATGACCATTTGCTAATAGCAATGTTCATATCTCAATCTAACATTAGATATTAAATTGCACTGACAGAAAGCCTGTTTTATTTTCCATGGAGTAAAAACCTCGTTATGGGACTTTGAAAATTTTAAATCAAGGATATGATTGGTGTGTGACTTCAGTTAAATCATGGCTTAACAACTTAATTTTTATTTATCAATTCTTAATCAAGGTCAGCTTCACAAATGGTGAGAAGGTACACTAACAGAGTTTCTTCTTAAAAACAGCCCTGACTCCTTACCACTGAGCCCGCACTATTGCCCTCACTGCCCAGAGCTGCTGGGCTCTGGGCTGGCATCAGCGCATGGTACTGCGGCACCGAAAGGACCAAGAGGCTGAGTGGGGTGGAACTCAGCTGCTCTCCAGCACTGGCCACCCCCGCAGGTCAGCCCCACGTGTCCCCACTCTCCAGGCCTGCCCTGCTCGTGCACGCCAGCTCCTTCAGCAGACCCAACAAGGATTTACTCTTCCTGACTTTGCTTTTATTTTCCACGTTACACTTTTTCTCCAATTACCCATCCTTTGAACTATATTTCTATATTACCATTCTATGATATTGCCAATTATACCTTATTAATTATACATTATTTTTATTCTCCATAATATATAATTATAATATATAATTGTATTATATATTACATATCACCAATATAAATATACACATATTACTCTAAATAATATGTATTCTCAAATAGTCATAAATTATTTGTCTATTTCTTAACAGCCAGAATTTTAAAGATTTAGAGTACAAACTAGCCTTAATTTGACAAAAATTACAAGTTTTTCCCCTATAATTATACATTCTTGTTTTTAAACTATTACTACATTCTTATTAATTCACATATGGGTTAATTTTAAGGTATATATTTGAAAGCACTTCTATAATCTTGCACAGTTTTGTTTGAAAGAGTTTTATGACATCTAACCAAAATTAAGTACAGTCATGTGTTGCTTAGCAACGGAGATGCATTCTGAGAAATGCATCATTAGGCAATTTTGTCTCCTGTGAACACCACAGAGCATACTTTCACAAACCTAGATGGTACATCCTATCATACACCTAGGCTATAGGGTACAGCCTATTGCTCCTAGGCTACAAACCTGTACAGCATGTTACGTACTGAATACTGTAGGTAAACTGTAACACAATGGTTAAGTATTTTTATATCTAAACACATCCAAACACAGGAAAGGTACAGTAAAAATATGATATTATAATCTTAAGGGAACACATCACATATGCATACAGCATATGACTGTGCTATCTCATTTAAGGCAATCATTACCTTTTCCAAACCCACTTTATCATTGGCCTGCCTGCAGGGCTTTGCAGACACAACTCTAAACTAATCCTATCAGAACATCACAGGATGGAGCCTGAGAATCTATATTTTAAAAAAAGTTTCTCAGGCAATTTGGATGACAAACCAAATTTGGTAACTCCAGAGGATATAAGCTAATTGGAAGAGGCAGTGGGCAAGTCACTAAAAAGAACTTCATGACCCTTCTCTATAAACAACAAGGGGCTGTTTCCACTGTGGTATGCAGCCGGTGACCACAAAAACACAATCTTCACTCTTACTTCCTCTCTTGTTACAACTAATAAATACAGAAAAACGACCACTCCAAAATAAACAGCAAACATTATCATATTTTAAAATGTGACTTTAAAAATATTACATTCCTTGGAAAATTTCACAGATACTTCATCTAGGTCAACATAAATATATTTATAGACTTAAAACATCTTTAATTTTTTAAATTCTCAGAAAGATTTCATAATTTAGAATGAGTCCAAAGTATGAACAATTTTTCTTGAATTCTTAAGAGAAGCTGCTATTAAAATTGGAATGTCCACTACTGGCCCTTCTGCGTTCCCTACTGCTTTGCATCTATGACAGAAATTGTTCTTGAGGATATCCTGAGCTGAAGAACTCAGCAAAACCATTTGGGGACTGTGCCTCACTGGGTATAGGTAATTTACTTCCACTTCTGTGCCTCTGTTTATCTTTTCATATATCTCTTCTGAATTCTTATATAGTCTTTAGCAATCATTTGGTTCTCACACTCTTATTTGGAAACTTGACTACAAGTGTATTTTTGGTTATTTCCAGTGAAATTAGGTGTCGACCTGGTAACCAGGCTTTTGCCTTTAACCATTTTATATATTTACTTAACACAATGTTGCTACATCTGCATGTGACCTACACATAGAAGAGGAATGCAAATTTGCTGATATAGTAACAAAAGTAGCAGGGATATTATGTTTTCTGTTTTGATCTATTTATAAGATTTATAATATACTCTCAAACACTAACCTTATTTCAACTGGTGTTATCTTTGACTTTTTATTAACTAATATCCAAAGATACTTAAAAGTCATGAAAACTATCTTCAAATATCTAAAGGGCCATAATGCAGAAATCGCATCAACCTTATTTTCTATTCCCCAAGAGCAATAAATACATGTTGCAGATACAGAAGTCAGTCCAAAATTAGGAGATCTCATCACTGATAATTCTGCAGAGCCTAGATAGCAGCTTGTCAGAGATAAGGTAAAGAGAAAAAATATAAGGAAAAATAAAAGCCAAAGATTTGTGGGCAATAGGAAAGGAGTAGAACCAAACAGCCACAGAGGTTCTTTTTAATCTGAGGTTAAGAAGAATTTATGTCTCATTTAAAATATTCCTAAACAATCATTTAATTTCTGTAATGAAGATATCTTATTTTAGAAACCAAATGAGATTATAATTTACAGCAATTCATATATCCTAGTGTATATGTATATGTGTGTGCACGTGTATTAATATTAGCATCTGAGATGTACGAGTTCAATTATAAATAAAATGTACTAATGTAAAAAATCTTCATCTCTGACAAAAGTGGATAAAACACTAATTTATAAAGAAAGAGAAAGGAGGAAATTAAGCACAAAAGTCTCTACTCTGACGGTTGTGAAATCAGTCATTACAGTGAAGTTTCGAAGTCATCATATATTACTATACACTTATACCCTGACCAGGATGTCATCAATTACAATAAAAAAGAGCAATAAAACAGACAACTCACCAATGAGCCTCAGTATTGATGCTATAATAATATCAGGAATATATGCAATGTTCGCATGTCCTTTTCTGTATTTTATCCACTTATCCATTACAGGCCACAGCTCCTTACTGTAAAACAGCAACAAGAAAAGATATATACTAACCATCATTCAAATTATAAGACCTTATCTTCTAAATGGTCCATAGGCAATTAGTGAAAAAGAGTAACTGCTAAGGATCTAACATTTTAAGTTAAAATAAGAACAGGTATTGGAAGGTTACATCTTCTCCAACTATTCAGGATATCTGTACCCACACTGACTTAAAAGAGGCTACAAAAGTACATGTTTTCATCATTCTGTTTTGACTCTTTTTATAAGGCTTTGCACAAAGAAGCTGAACAGTGTCCCCAAAGTCACAGAACTAGGAAGTGGTGGAGCCTGCATTTTCATTTGGACCCTCCAGGCACTTAAAGCAGCCCCTGAGTTCCAGCAGCCCACAGTTACCTGGGAGAATCATAGACAAATGAAGCTATGTGCGCAAAAATAGCTAACGCAGAGGAAAACTGTAATGTCAATAATCAAAACACACTTTACAGGGACAAAAAAAATATTTCCACTGACTGAAAACAGTACCAATTCCATGTTGCTTTTTCTTTTTTCAAAAAATGTATTTACTTTTTGCAAGGCATTCACTATATATCACTAGAAAATTTAAATGCAAACAAAAGAAAAATAGGAATTAAAAGCACCCTGAATAACCCAGTCTCTGATAATTATTACTCTCCTAATTTTAGGCTTTTCTTCTAGATACTTCTTGCTCTCTCTGTGGACGTAAACAACCTGGAGAGAACCATGAAGTGCTGAGGAAGGGAACAGAGTTTGCAGTCGCTCAGGCAGAGACCCTTGTATTTGACACTGTCCTCCCCACTGGTGAGGCGGATCGTGGACAAAGCAGCTCTGATGGGGATAGAAGGGCCCCTGCCTCCTGGGTGCCCATGAAGAGCTGCAGGGACATGAGGCCCACAGTAGGCCCTCACATACCATCACACAGACTGGCACTGGACAGACCGTTCTGTCACTGTCTTATTTAGTAACAGACTGTGAAACACTTTTCCATGTCGATACATAAAAATCCACTTACAGCTCTGTACATTAATGCAGCTATTATCTCATTATATAGCTTTACCTGATTCAATTTCTTGTTGTTTGACCCTTAGATGTCTAATCTATCCTTAGTGTCAAGGGATTGAGAGTGACAGACATCCTTGTACACAGATGGATACTTACACAAGGTAATTTCCATAGAATATATTCTTCAAGTATCTAAATGATATGGATTATCAACCCTTTGATGTATCCTTTTTAATGCCACAGACTCCCTTATACCATCCTTTCTCAGCATAATTAACACCTACAGAAAAACTATTTGAGTAACAATTTTCTCCCAGAGGTGGCACATAGATAGTGCCAGGGCTGCAGATACACAGAGAAAAGTTAATTTATTACATACAATGGGTGCCTGAGAGTATAAGGCTTAATTGTCTGCCAGGTGAGAAGAACTGCTAATCTATAATTTTGAATATTTCTGTTGCTTTGGGTTTTCCTAGAATATCTGTATGTTAACATAATAATCATTACATTTCATTCAACACAGGTTTGCTGAGTGCCTCCCTCGTGTCGGCACTGTTCTACAAGCTGGGGCTATGCCAGTGGACCAAATAAAGCCATCCCACTCCCACTTCCTGAGTCATTTCCACTGCAGACAGAGAGAATAGTAGAATATAACAAAAAGTAGTGACAGACACTGAGGAAAAGTAAAGCAAGGGAATGTGGTAATGTTACAGGTATATTAAGGGTAGTTTACTCTTATCCAAATAAAAACGTCATCTGTAAATGTTTCAGCTGCCTTATACACTTAAACAAAAAAAAAAATGATTCAACCCACAATGCAGCATTCAAAAGAATACCTTACAAAAAATCCAACTTTATTTGAGTTAGCAAAATAGCTAACCTGATGATGTTATCATGTGTCCAAATCCATTTCTGATGGCAGCAGAGCAGATCAATGGCAAATATGTATTCCCATGTATTATCGCTTAGGTCTTCCCCAAATTTCTCACTGGACTGAAATTCTGTTTTTGGACATAACTGAATGGTCAAAAGCAGCTTAGAAACCATGAAGCCAACATCTACAGGAGCATTCTAGCAAATAGAGAAAAAAATACATCTTTTGTTAGTTATCTCAAAGAATATAATAAGCATCAGATGAATAATCACTTAATCTTATAAAATAGCTTTTTGAGATAGTTGTATTTTGAATAAGGAATTATGTTTATTTTAGTCATAATATCATAATACTTATCATGAAATGATTTTAGCATGGTAGTTAATTAGCAAGATGATAAAGCACAGGTAGGAAGCACAATCCAATCAGGTAGAAAAGAGCTTAGCTGTAATACAGATTGGAACAAACATTTTCATCAACCCAAATAAAAGAATTCAAGTTATAAAGTTAGATATAATAAAAAGATTCAACCTTTAAAAAAGTCGTTTTTTTTTTTTTTTTTTTTGAGACAGAGTCTCACTCTGTTGCCAGGGCTACAGTGCAGTGGCATCATCACAGATCACTGCAACCTCAAACTCCTGGGCTCAAGCGATCCTCCTGCCTCAGCCTCCTGCGTGGCTGGGACTACAGGTGTGCACCACCATGCCTGGCTAATTTTTTCTATTTTTGGTAAGAGATGGGGTTTCACTCTTGCTCAGACTGGTCTCGAACTCCTGACCTCAAGCAATCCCCCCACTTCAGCATCCCAGAGTGCTAGGATTGCAGGCGTGAGCCACTATGCCCAGCCTAAAAAATTCTTTAAGTTCTGTTATCTTTCTGACACTGTAGATCAGCCTGCCCTTTCCAGAAATTCATAAAATTGAGTCAGACAGTACTAAATTCTTATGTGTGGCTTTTTTCACACTTCTATATGTTTTTGGATATTTATTCACATTGTTATGTATATTAGTAGTGTGAACACTCCTTTTCATTGCAGAGTAGTAATCCATTACATGTATATATCACTGTTTATCAACTCACCTATCAAAAGACTTTTGGATTATTGCCAGCTTTTGGCTATTGTTATTTAATAATTAGGCTGCTATGAATATTCATGCATAAGTCTTTGTGTAAATATAAATTTCATTTCTCTTTAAGATACCTAGAAGTGGAATTGCTGGGCCCTTTGTAAGAAAAGATTTAACTTTATAAGAAGCTGCTCAACTGTTTACAACAGCAGCTACACTATCAGAGCACTGATAGTGTAGCTGCAGCACTCTATCAGAGTTTCCCAGCAGCACTCTATCAGAGTTTCAGTAAAACAATAATACATATGCAATACAGGCTTAGCATACTCAGTACAACAAAAGGCTTGGGCTTGGAAATTTGCTTTATTATATGAAGAGCTCAGTATGTTAACCTGTGGCTTCGGCATCAATATCCTGAAAGGTTTTGATCTGAGTCTCAAGCTTTCCATCAGATAACCCACAACCAAATCATGGTCCAAGATAATCTACCCAACAGCTGAAACTCAGCCAAGACGGTAAATATCCTCCTTAGGGAAGTCAGTGACTTTGCAACCTGAGAAGACGCAGAAATAACTTTAGACACAAAGATAATCAAATCTATATATTAATTCTTTTGTATTATATATTTAAGAATATATTTTGCAATAATTGTGAACATGTGATAATCTGTATGTGTGTTGTGTACCTGCATAAGTGCTGAGAATGTTTAAGTTGTGGTTATAGTCTGAAGTATTTGATATTAGAATCATGATTTTAATTAGAAATGTTTAAGAGAACATAATTAAGTTTGTAAACAGTGTTTGAATATTTACTACAACGTCTACATCCTCAATTGACATTTAACATTCCAGAGCTGCTTAAAGTGCTTAGAAAGGTTTTGCTTATTAAATTTGAAGGTCTAGTTTCAAGTATTTTTGAGGAATATATCTTAAGTTTAGGAATAATTTCAAAGTGTAAGATAATTAAATTTTAATAGTTTATAAATGATTTAGATGTTAATTTGTTAAATATACGAATTGAAGAAACATTAATCAATAGCAAAAGTAAAAACATTGTTACATTTGTCACAATTACTTGATTTATAAATGAAACAAGATTTATAAATTTAAAGGCTTTTTAAAAAGGTTTATAAATTTACAACTTTAAAATTGAGTAGTAACTTAAGCCAAGTAGTGAATTCTACATATAGAAGACCCTTAAGGATCGTATCAACTCCACTGGAAAAACTTGGGGGATGCACCACCCTGAAGAGGCCAACTCAGGGAAATACTTCC